ATCCACTCAAGTTGACCTGCATAACAATGCATACATGTCGGGTAAATTAGACATTAAACTTCTGGGACTGATCACTGGCCCTGGTTCTTTAGCTGAGCTTAAACGAATGAAACTGTATTGCCATATAGTCACAATACCTAACAAACCCTAGTCCCTGCTTCCCTAACTGTGACCCTACAAAGCTGACCTGGACTGAAATCAGAAACGATAGACATTTTTTAAGAAGCCTGTTCTGGGATTTTAATTTAAATTCAGTTTAAAATCAGTGGGAGTTGTTGACCTCCTGCCAGAGCCAGTTACAAATCTGATGAGGTAGAATGTCCATCGCAATGCTGGAAGAGGTGACAGCAGGCCCTGTCACAGTGCTACCAAGGGGGTAGGAAACATGGCACCACGTATCTGCAGAAGGATAGGCCAGACAACCGGGGACTCTTTTAGTTGCAAATTTACTTTTTTCTGTGGCTGCTTTAACTAACTCTTATTGTCAAAATATTGTCATCTATGGATGAGATCCAAGGAATATCAAAGTTGGTAAAAAGGGTTAATCAGGCAAAGAAATGTGATTGCATCAGTCAAAAGAAGCCGTAATAATTTTGAAGACCATCTGTCGTTTTAGGGCAGACCCTATAAATAGGAATAAAAGACTGATTTCAAAATAAATAACTTAGTTTCTAATGAGGCAAGATTTTGTTCAGGTGGCTGTACTACTTTTGTTACAAATAGGAAACACTCAGGACACTTATCCTGCAATAACCGCACCAACTGACATTTCTATTTTTCATCATTGTCAAAATTCAGACTGTCCTATAACCAATTAAAAAGGAAAAAAGCTATACATATTCAGAAGGTCGTTTTGATCCAATTTCGAAATTCATGCACAAGAAGTCTACTGGTATTAGACCAGATATATTTAGACAGCTTTGAAAACCCGTGGAGGAAAAGCACCTTTTCTCTGTAAGCGCACAGCTGTCCTATTGGGCAACCCAGATGGAGAACAGGTACAACCGGGTGAGTACAGGGTGAAGCTGGGATGAGAGCAGATGTGGCTCAAGTTCAGGCTGAATCTGCTTTGGGAAGTGATTGATCTTTCTTCACAAAGCTGCCCCTCCTTCCTGGAACCATCCAGAAAGGGCCTATGGAGCTACTAGAAAACTCCCAGGTGACCTGAGGCGATTCAGTTCTCCTTTCACACTAGAGCTTCCGGCTCCCACCTCACTTTCAGATACAGAATTTTTCTTTTCTCAGTTCCATAGGGCAGTCCACAGTATAACCCATTAATGTGTCCTGACTACCTGAATATCTTTTGGGGAAATCTAGCTACTCAATTGCAAAGGTCCACAGTAACATTAGATACGAATGACAATGCTCTTGGGGCTCAGAAACCTGTTACGGAGCAAACTGACTGCTGAGCTCTCTGGCAATAGGGAAGTGGTCCCCATGTGAAGGCAGAGGGGCCTGGGACTTGTCCCACGTCTTGGTCCTCCAAAGGCGGTTGTTCCAGCATCGGGGAACATTTTAGAGCCAGGCACAGAAAACTGGCTTTGGCGTCAGCTCTGGATGTAAGACTAGATATGCCAATTAGAGCTGGGTGAACTTGGAATAAATTTCTTAACCCCTGAATCAGGGGTTAGGATGGTCTGCAACCTCTTAGGAATTATGTGAGGATTAAATGAGAGACCATCTGTAAGGTGCTTATCCTGTTGCTTGTCTCTCGGGAAGCACACAGCGAATAGCAGAGTCATCATCACGACACGCCTTTCCCCCATTTGAGACCACAGCAATTGGGTTTAAGTGCTGGGCTACTGAAAGGACCGCTGAAAGGAAGTTTCACCTACCAGCAGTTTTGGAGGAAAAGCCGCACTGCAGTGACCAGGCACTCGTCCTGAACACCACCCACACCCTCTTTCCCCCCAATCCTCCCCACGGCAGCTTCTTTACTTCAGCCTCCATGTTGATGTCTACACTTAAGTTCCAGCTTGTCAACTAAAATCCAGATGAGGGGTGAAGATCTTTGCACACTGAAGGCCCAAGAGTGTCTACTTGCAAATGGTCGTAGCATCATGGTCAAGCCTGAGCGTGGACTTTGAATTCAGGCCTGAATGGGAACCACTTCCCTCAAGTCCCCTTTCACCACTTACTGTCTTAAGTGAACGTGGCCAACTTAGCCTCTTCAAACCTGCTTTCTTGTTTATACAAACAGGATAATACCGAATTGAGTAGCTGAAAGGATTACATGTAATAATATTTATATGTAAAGTGCTTAGCACAGTAACTGGCAAGGAGTGAAGCCCAACTCATCATTATTGAATCCAGTTTTTAAAATGCGACTTAACTGCAGTCTTTGGTGCACAGAAACTAGCAAATAAGTTAAAACTGTAATCAAAAGATAAGCTTGCGATCCAAGCACTGGTGAATACACATGATGATAAAAAAGGTAAACATTTCAACTGGCTTATGGAGCTATGCTCACAATCTACCTACTTTGCCTGTTCAGATTTCCTACCTTATTCATAAGAATTATCTCTGCCAGGCAAGGTGCACACTACTTATAATTAGTAATTTCATCCTAAATTAGCTTCCTCTAGGAAGGAAGGGGAAGGAGAACCAACGTTTTGGTGACCTGTAGAATTACTATGACATGGGCCCTACTAACACTCTTGTTTACAAATCGGGAAACATGACTAAAGACAAAAGTTAAGCAGGCGAGGGACGCAGTGTTTGAGGCAGAATTTGATGGCAGGTCTGTCTGAACGAGGCTGCCCATTATCTTCCCTTCTGTTTGCACTGCCTTTCAGTTTCTCAGGTTTATTCAAGAGCTGGCCTTCAGAGTAGAGTTCTCAGATAGCCACTGTTGAACTAACGAAGACCGTTTTCTGCCACTGGACGGAATGAGGATTTTAGTCAGTTACGAGGAGTTTGGTTCTATTCTCGCGTTTCCAGCGGTGACTAAAAAGCCATAGCCACTCGGTGACAGAGGCTACTCGGTCTGCCCGCTTGAAATGCTCCAGGTAGATTAATTTTTGACAGATGACTCACCTTCCCTTTCCTGTTTTGATGGAACACGGAGACGGAACCGTTCCTGTCAATAAAAGGCTCGAGTTTCCACCTAGCAAATTCGCGCTGTGCTGACAGTCTAATTGGCTGACGCGCAGGTGGGATTTCCTGTCGCCATTTTAAGGAAACACACTCCCCTGCAAGGAAGTGCCCAGTCAGTTCAAAGGGGCTTTGCCTGGAACAAAGGGTGAGCAAAAAAAAAAAGGGAAACGGGCCCAGCTGTCCGAGGCCCCTCCATCCTGCGCCCTCGCTCCCCGCTGGCCCCCGACTTGGAGAGCCGGGCTCCCTGAACCCCGACGCGCCGAGCCCGGAGCGGAATCACGTGGGATCTCCCCTCCGGGCCAGAGTGCGCCCGCAGTTCAGCAAAACCCCCCAATCCCCCAAACAGAGCCCCCCAGAACAGATATCGGGGAGGGCTGGCGAGGTCTGCGGGTGCTGGATCCGGAAGAGAGGAGGTGCCTCCCACTGCGGGTTGCGGACAAAGGGTTTCCAGAGGTGCAGCGTTCCCCGCTGCCCCAGCCGCTTCGGCTCCCTCCCCGCCGACCCCGGCCATTTCGGCGCCTTCCCGGGGGAGCCGACACACCGCTCCC